ATTAAAAAGGAGCAACTTTTACCCAAAAGTGGGCAAAGCAGGCAGGCAGATTGAGTTGCTCACAGAATCATTCCGTGATCTATCACTCTGCCATCGGCTAACCGAGTCTGTCACATAAAATTTGCTTGCAAGCAAACTCACAAAATTATCTCACAACGCACCACAGGTGTCAATATTGAATTTTTTTATTAAAAAAGAGCAACTTTTACCCAAAATCAGGCAAAGTAACCAGGCAGATTGAGTTGCTCACAGAATCATTCAGTGATCTATCTCTCTGCCATCAGCTACCCGAGTCGGTCACCTAAAACGGGCTTGCAAGCCAACCCATAAAATTTGCTAGCCCAGCCAACTGGCCAAATGAACTCACAACACACCGGGTATGTCAATATTGAATTTTTTTATTTAAAAAAACAAAAAGAGAGAGCGACCTTTCCCCCCCGCACCCCGCCTGCCCAAAATCGGGCCAAGCAAACAGGCCGATGGAGTCGCTTGCCGAATCGCCGATTCCCTCAGAGATCTATCCTTCTGCCATCTGCTGCCCGAATCTGCACTGACAAAAACAGAAGCTTAGAAGTAGACTACCTGCACTGGGCTCTGCAAGAGGGAGGAAACACAGCACACAGACACATAGACACACACACAGAGACACACACACACACGCGCGCGCGCACACACAAACCTTTGCTACCTCTCCCCAGTGTCTCTACGGCTGCTACGTCCATTCGTCCATCGTTCCGACATTCCACCGGCGCTGCTATTGGCTACTCCAGGTCAGTCTCCCTGGGGCTGCTGGGCCAAGCTGGTGGTGGTGGGGGTTTCCCTGAGGAATGGGGGGGCTGGGGGGGGGCCCCAGAAGAAGGATAGCAACAGGGGGAGCACCCAGGAAGGGAGGGGAGCTCCCCCTTTCGGTTCCTTGCATTTCGGACCGGCTGCCTTAATTTCAATGACGAAAAAAATATCATTTATGCAAGACTGAACGATTCGCGTAGCATCTGCCAATTCTCGACGTGAAAGGAGGCACATTTCAACTCCCAGAATTCCCCCCCGGTCGAGGGAGCTGGGCTGGGGAATTCTGGGAGTTGAAGGCCGCAGCCCTTTAACGGAGTTTGAGAAACGCTGCTCTCGACAAAGAGGGGAAAATCTCCAAACTTGGCATCTTTGAAGACTTGTGGACTTCAACTCCCAGAATTCCCCAGC